AGAAGCACTGAACTCTGCGCCCAGTGTCCGAGGGAGCTAGCAACCCCCGTAGCGTACTGCGGAGGCAGTACCATCCCGTAGGAGCTTGCAAGAGAAACTGGGGCAGCCTCAGGCCTACCAAGTCCGTCTGGCACTTATATACGAGCATGGCGAGCGGGCAGATGACCCCGGTTACCTAGCTTACGCCGCCGGGGATGCCCTGCCGAGCAACCACCGATGCGGAAGGTCTCGGAGACGTCACCGACGGCGCGACAGAAGGTGTGCATCACACCTTTGGAGGCCACAGGGCATTGTAGTCACAGTCCAGCGTTATTCAAGCTTTGCAAGTAGCTTCCGTGACTGACCAACGTTCGTGTCAATACCGTTCCCGATCACCAACATTACACGGATCGGCACTGGGGTAGTAGGTTCGATCACGCCATGTTATACCCATTAAAGCTCACTGCTTCAAACCGAGGTTATGGCATAAAAATAGTATCCTTCTACTTAGTGGTTGGAGCGCTCGAAGGCAAAAAAGTTGGCCTGGTCTAATGACACACTTTTACCTTCTTATGAAGAAGCTGTATTGTCCGACATGGGTTAAGGTACATAAAGAGCCTAGAATGCAGGGTCTGCCATCTGTTAGATTCAGCTTCTGTAGAAAAGTTCTCCCACGAGGGTGACCGCCTTCGGAAGATTCCATTTCATTACAATGTGCACTAATGGTCTTGAGACTTTTAAAGCGAGCTAGACCATCTCGATACGTACTCCCCTTCGTACTTCCGCTACACAGGCAACATGGCACCTCCTTCTTTCAATACTCACGCATCGTTTGGCTTTAATTTGCTGGAGGGTTTCAGTTGTGAAGAGCGGGTCATTTGAGGAACCTTCCATTATCAATACAGGGTGAAAAGCCCGTGGACAATGTTGGTGTCGCTTCATCTAGGCTGTGTTCTTTCCCTACAAGTCTGTGTCATTTCTCTTGAGGAACATCTATTTGGGCGTCCCTCCTTGCACATTTACCAGCCCTTTCCTTTACAAAACTGTCGAAATCTATCAGTTTGAAAGTCAAAAATTCAGCCACTCAACAGAAGCAGAAGTACAGGTCAGTTTCTAGAATACTGAATAAAATTATTGATTGATCTTCGAAAAAAAGTGATCAACAAAGTAAAACACCCAGCAAAAAAGTCTGTAATTTCCACGACCCTGGTAATATAAATGGTGATCGATGCCCGAGACACTAGAAAGAAAGAAAGAAAGAAACAAGATGCTGTGATCTTTTAAGAGTTTGTTCTACCACCTTAATTTCTACGGCTTCGGTAGAACAGACACACCAGAACGGAAACGTCTTAAAGAGTTTGCATAGGCGAGGAATGTTTGGAAAATGAGCAAATGATCACGGGCATTAACTAACTTGCAGTTCATATTACTGTGATGTTCCCGTTGGTTCGTCTCAGGATCGAAAATTTCAACCGAAGTATGACCACGTCAGCTCATAGCATACAGCTTCCCATTCACTGCAGCCAGTCCTAATTGAAAATGATAAAGAACCATTTCTCTGACAAAAGTAGATGGCGAAGTCATTGCAAACCTTACTAACTTACTCCATCTCGGCTTCAGTTCAATTCAGTCACTGAAGTCCACTTATTGCCACGGTGGTCGAACTTCTCAACAGAGCTCATTTCGTCTAAATATTCGTTGCATCCACCCACTACATACAATTCGCTATAGAGCACCGCAGATCCGTGACTACGTCGAGGTTTTGACATTGGACAAGCCTTTTCCCATCTACTAACTCGTGGGTCGAAACTGAAACATGAGTGGCCATTTTGTAACTGTTTCAAATACATTTTGACGTGTATTGACGATAGATTCCATACATGCCGAAAAAACGATGATTGAGTTCTTAGGTTGAAGCATGTATTTTTCAACTGACTTTTTGTAAATTCTCAGTAGCGTACCAGCCTCTCTGTTAGAGGTATGCAGCATCATAATACAATGCTCGACGACTACGCTCAGGCAGCTTTCCGATCTCATCCACCCAGAAAGACGGGGGTTGAGACCTGTTGAAGTCGCCGAGCGTCATTCTGACCTCACCCTCAGCGTCGAATTTGTTAAAATTGCGCGGCATTGTTGTCTGCATATGGAGGGCGTTACGGATCTCCTTCACTGAGGGTTCTCTCTCACTGAAGCGTTCCAGCCGGTTAGCGACGAGGCTTCGTAGGGCGTACCCAGGTGGCGGATAAGGGAATTAAACGTCAACCAAAAGTCGCCAGTACTTGCCCAGAGATGCAGGTTGATTCAGGTAATGGACTCCCCTACTCTGATGTACAGGTCGATATATCTTCTGTTTCTCGCAGGCGTATCCACGCATACGTGTGTGAGAGTCTATGGGTGCAGTTGGCATCCTGCCCATCGACTCGGACAAAAGCCTGCATTCGAGTGACTAGGAAGTATCTAGGAGATTGGGGGCCCCTTCCAAGAACAAAGCACCTCGTCCAAGCTTCGGGATAGCCTGGCTAGTTGCAGGAGTCAAGCCAGCCCCCACGTCAGAGCCTGGCAAGCTACACGTTCGC